CCCCCAACCACTCCAGTAACACTCAGTTTGTTTCCTGAGATTAAGAACTCCTCATATCAGTGAGGTCATGTGATACATGTCTTTCTCTGATTGACTTATTTCACTCAGCATAACACCCTCCAGTTCCATCCACGTCGTTGCAAATGGCAAGATCTCATTCCTTTTGATGGCTGCATAATATTCCATTGTGTATATATACCACATCTTCTTTATCCATTCATCTGTCGATGGGCATCTTGGCTCTTTCCACAGTTTGGCTATTGTGGACATTGCTGCTATAAACATTGGGGTACACGTACCCCTTCAGGTCCCTACATTTGTATCTTTGTGGTAAATACCCAGTAGTGCAATTGCTGGATCGAACGGTAGCTCTAATTTCAACTGTTTGAGAAACCTCCATACTGTTTTCCAGAGGGGTTGCACCAGCTTGCATTCCCACCAACAGTGTAGGAGGGTTCCCCTTTCTCCACATCCCCGCCAACATCTGTCGTTCCCTGACTTGTTAATTTTCTGGCTAGGCCAGATTCTTGGGCACACTTTTTTCCATTTGTAAAAATGCCCTGGGAAGACTGAATGACAAAAATATTATAGAGATACATGACCTCAAAATTAGGTCTTTGACCTTAAGCTTTCTGATCTCAAGTGAAAACCTGGTTAACACCAATTTTTTGGATTTCAAGGGGAAACATCACCACTATTTTCCCCATGGGCTAAAACTTAGGCTCTTAAGAGGAAAACACCCAAGACCCAGGTAGATTAGCCGGCCAGGGGGGAAGAGGAAAGCTATCCAGTAGAATCAAATTAGACATCTTCAACGTAAAGAGAGACAATATTTCCAAATGATTGATATGTGTGTGTGATTAATACACATACACACACAGACATACCCGTATGTACACAGGCAAACACATATATACACAGACATACCTGCATATACATTTTAATGATACTGCTTTTAGAAAGACAGGAGAAAAATTCAATTGGCAGTATACTCAATTATTAAGAAATTTTGCGTTTGTTTGAGTCACTGAATATTTTAGGACTCTATCTGTGCATCTGGTGTCCTCAGGCTACAGCCACAAACACGCCCTGGGGATTCTTTTTAATGCCCTGGAATGCATCACGTACCTTTTAAAATGTCCTGTGGAACCGCTGGGATGAGATTTGAGGGGGAAAAATGTAAGTAATGCTTACACTAGAGATGTAGAAATTGCTTCTGAAATCACCCTGATGTATGTAAAATTGAATCTATTTTCGTGGCATTAGGGAATTGACTGCCTGGCTCCTGCATCAGTTTTAGGAGGCCCTGAGATGATTTGCAAATGTCGAGGAAGCACTGAGAAAGGCAGAGCCCAAGAATACATGTCTCATCAGAAAAGATTACAGAAGAATGGGCCCTGAGCAATTATTTCATTATTGAACAGGTGGGCTCTTGCCTAATTTAAACTCCGCATCTCCCTGCATACATTGATTTTCTGGGGCTTTCTATTCCAAATGACTGCTACATTGTGCAGCAGCGGTTCAGACAAGCCTCTGGATTTTGTATGGGAACAATGACCTCTGGGCTGCAAGGGTGATAGGGCTCTGTCAGCGCTGGGCCTGGCTTTGCTGCAGCATTCTTGAGTGTACATCACATTTCAAGGACAAACAATGTGCGTTGTCTTTGGTTTGAAGAAATGCTGGCTTTTATTAAGTAATCTCATTTTGATCTTCTTGCCCTGTGTACCTGATTGTTATTTTTTTTTTCTGAGATCTTTCACCCACTGGGATAATTTTCCGTGTCTTCCTTCCGATGGTGTCTTTTTATATCCATGCTTACATTGTCTTCTTTATCTTTTGTTCATAGTGTCATTGTCTCTGTGTTCATTTTCAGTCCAAATCAAAGTGCTTCAAAACAAATCCCTGTTGAATTTCTGTGATAGTGATGCTGGCGGGCCAGGTCCAAGGACCCAGAGGGGTTCCCGCAGGAGCAGCCAAGAGGTCCCAGCTGTGCACAGGCTAGAAACCAAACACAAGCCAGCAGGAGGTGAAAGCAGAGTTTATCGAAGGTATAAAGAGAGTGAAGGTACAGAGTGTCTGGGAGACTCAGAAAGGAAAGGAGGGAGTCTGGTCTTTTTTGGGGTCTGGGGGGTCTGGCATATGATGAAGATGGTGGCCTGGCGTATGTGTCCACTCAGGCCTCTAGGAACCGATTAGAGCAAAGATAAGAGCCTAGCTGTTACTCTTTGGAACCCGGGGGTCCTGGCCTCAAGCAGCCTAACGCCGGGGGTGTGGAATAGACATGTGGTGGCTTCATGCGGTCATTCTCACCTGGTCCTT